ACAATATTTGCTGGGTCTAGTTGTAATGATCTGGTACCATCGGACAGCGCTGCAACAACGATTATATCAGGCCATTTTGATAAGAAGATTCGATTTTGGGATACCCGAACTGAACAATCAGCAAATGAGGTACCACTTCAAGGAAAGATTACTTCTCTGTCTTTATCAAGAGGTAAGTTATCATTTTAATGAATATCTATCTCTCTTTTTTCTCTTTCTTCTTTTTTTTTCTCTTTCTCTCTCTCTTGAGCAACTCAGACATTCCCTTCAGTGGATTTGCATCCTACCAAGGAGATAGGGTAACCCACATGCTGCTGAAGGCTAAAATACAAGAGATCAGCCCATGAAAGACCACCCTGCATCCTAACACAAAAAGGGTTGCTTGCATAAAAAAGTAAAATTATTGATGGTAATATAATTTTTTATTCTTTCAGATGGATTTTATTTACTAAGTTGTGTGCGTGATGATTCCCTTAAAATCTTGGACCTTCGGAAAAACAAAGTGGTACATACATTCACGTAAGTGTCCACTGCTTTTTACCCTGTGTTTTCTTTAAGTGTTTTACCTTTATAAGATATACTCTGTAGATTATTATAAGGAAATATTGATATGTTGATGTTGCATGTACTGTAAGTTCTCGCTTAACGTCGGGGTTACTTTCCTAAAAATGCGACGTTATACGAAACAATGTTAAGCGGGACGACGTTATAGGAGTACTTACTGTACCAGTACTGTACCTGGAGTAACCAAGAATTAGTCATTGACTGTTTGTTTTTCAGTCAGGAAGGATTTTCATTGAGCTTACTAAAACAGCTAAAAGTATTATTAGAAATTGACAAGACACATCTCCACCCTGTTCAATTTGAACAAGTCAGCAAAAGATGACTGGAGAAGCAGAGGCATCTGTTCATGTGAAAATTTTAGTAAAAGGGTTTAGTTTGTTGCACCAAGTGAAACTCTTAATAGCTTTTATGCAAGAATGTTTATGTGCTATATTGAACTCCATATATTCTTAATTTTACAATGATTTTTAGATGGTTGGATACCTTTTACATCATGCTTCTCCAGTTATGTAGTGAGCCTGGTCCCAGTAACTGGGTGTTTAACAAAGTTTAACTGAGATTTGCCTATTTTGGGCATTCTAATATTTCTTCTCACTTTTCATCATGGGATTTCCTTTAATTGTGTCCACCTTATTATTTATCTCAATATATTTTGATTTTTTATCATTTCAGTTCTAGTAACAGTGGAACTAACGTCTGAGCTGATCCTAGCTATCCAAACTATGTATGTATTGTCGCTTAAAAATAATCTCTACTTGGGGGGGTCGATGAACACTGTAACTCCTGTTGCCCAAATTCTTTGTCTGTTGTGTCATATTTTCTCAACACAATTTTGTAAAGATAGTTTTTTGAGTGACTCTACATTTAAGCAAACATTCATGGCACATACAATATGTCTGTAGTCAAACACACCTCTCCTTCTGTGAACTGTTAGGTTCTTACAACAGTGATTGCTCAGGTACACTGTGAAGAAGAGAAATCAATTTTATCTTTGATTTTAACTTGTTTCTTTGAGAAATTGTTACTCCAGAACTGTCTGGCTCGCCCAAAGAGGAAATCTAACAAAAACTTGAAGTGTCTATATGGGCAGTGCCAAATGATAGGCACAGCAAATATACAGACCTGTATATTCTTGGTGCTTGGTTTCTTGGCCATCTCTTGTGATGTAAGAATTTGTGTGGATACTATCATCAGGATAAAACAGGTTTATTTAAGACTTGAAACTTGTGGCCAGTAAAAATTAAAGTAATTAATTTATATTTTTATATGTGAATACCTGTACCTGTATTATGAATTTGTTAGAGAAAATTATTATTTATGCAAAAGTACAGAGAAACAAGGGACAGGTGGGCCCTTAATAGAACATGTGTTGATGTGAATATACTACTAAGTTTACAAATTGTTGGAGGAATAATGTGCTAACCCACACAAGTTTGGAAAATGACCATAAAATGATGATGGTGATGTTAATGAAAAGTACAGGTAAGATGGTTTTACAAGTCTTTTAAAAAAATTATTTACACAAACTTTTCTTATTCCACAGTGGTGATGGCTTCCATGTAGGCACAGACTACACAAGGGCAACATTTTCTCCTGATGCAATGTATGTTGCAGCAGGAACTGGTGATGGTGCTGTCTATATATGGAATGTTAATACAGGCAAGCTAGAAAAGACATTTAGGGAACATTCGTAAGTATCCTCAACAACAGTTATTCCTGCAGTTTGCACGAAGTTAGTAAAATCTTGCCAAGACCATTCCTACAGGGTATAACATAATACTTCCACAGTAAAAAGATTTATTACAAGACCCAGTAAAATGGCAATAAATTGAAAAAACAAAAAACAATTTCATGATAAGGTATCACTCCCAGCAAATAACAGGTCTGTGGCCATAATTGGTCAGTGTATATTGATAGTTTGCAAAATGCACCAGGTTGATTGGCTGGGAAGCTGGTCACGTTATCCAGGGGTTTGTTAGGTCAATAGACACTGTGTAGATCAGGTTGGGTAATGTTTCCCAGGGTGGTTGTTAAGCCACTAAGTCAAGTTTGTAGTTGGTTAATGGTGTTGGTAGAGGAGAGTGTTAGTGGTGTGCATATAGTTGGTGGTGCAAATGGTAGGTGGTGCAGATGGATGGTGATGAGATTGTTGGTGGTTCAAATTGCTGGTGATTCAAATAGGAGGTGGTTTAATTGGTTGGGGCTGTAGACGCTTGGTGGTTGAAATGGTCAGTGATATTAATGTTTGGTAGTGGGTGAGACCACCTCAGGGGCTGACAGTGGAAGGTATGAGGTGATATGAATGGTAAAATAATAGCCACACTTACACTGCTTCTGTGAGATATTTTTGTGCATGGGAAGTTCATGCAGGGTATAGGAATTGATGGAGTTTCTTGATTGGCAAAATTTCTGTTAAGTTATATTTTGGGATTTCAACAAAGCCATAAAATTTTGCATTATAATATTTGCTGTTATTATTGAGAAGGTTGTGTTTCTGTTAGGACTGTATTTCATGGTGTATGCCAACGATCATCTCTGAATTTTTAGAGTACAGTACTCATTCTCAAATATTTTTTATCTCCCAAACCTAAGTCTTCCTCTGTGTTATAACTACTTTGTTTACATAATAATTTTATGGTAATGTATTGATCATTACTGTTTCCTAATACTTGTACACAATGCTTAGGTAGAATTTTCTTTCCATTAAAATTTTTAGTGTTCACAGGGATGTTTATTCAAGATAGTCAACATTATTTTACAGAAGAAATGCTGCTGTATGATTGATTTGGAAGTGTTAATAATTTCAGAATTGTTTCATAAACACTTTCATATCTTTCTTTTTTTTCTCTCCCTTACAGAGCCTGTGTTGTGGCATGCACTTGGCACCCAAGTGGAAAATCACTTGTGTCCTGCGATCGAGCTAAAAAGGTCATAGCCTGGTCAGATTTTTAAAGTAATTTTGAGGAAAATGTGCTTTACCTCCTGGTGCTCTAGCCATTGGTGTTTGTTGGAGTTCCCAAAGCTGTGATAGAGGTAACCAAATCTTAGGTTATGCTTGAGTTCTCTCTTATGATGCTGCATCACTGCCACTGCTACATAGGATCTATTTAATCAGAATGTTGACTTAGAATCATTAATTAGTGCATCTTTGTGTGTTTTTTTTAATGTTGGGACAATACTGTCAGTTTTATGATGGGTACCTGACCATGAGCAGGAACAAGATTCTAATTAACATGATCCTATATAGCTGAGGTGTATTATTTGTGTATGTAAAAAGCAATGTCTCCGGGTACCAGGTCAGTGAAAATCATCCTTGTGCTTTTCATTTAAATATTTTGTTACATTTATATTTGACATAATCTGAATTAAACAAGTTCTAATTCTCCTGTGCAATTTACGTAATCAAGAAAATGTGTATTTGTTGCATGTTCTATTAGTAAATTGATTGTTTGTTGTGAAAAATCCAGAACAAATTTTATGTTTAAAGTTGCACATAAAAATAATTTGATTGTAATGTTTGTACAAACTTGCAGATTATGTAAGAATGTGTATGTATATATAAATCTTTCATTGAGTAGCTCTTACAGTATTTATTCTAATTCATGATTTTCCACACCGTCCTTACCAGTTTTCAGCGTCACTGTTTTGTATGTGGTAAAAGTCGCAGTGATTCATTCTTGTCCATGCTGATGCTTTTTCATGCTAGGATTACATTCTCAATACTGTAGAAGAATTTTTCTAATCATCATAAACATCATGTACAGTATGACTTCAGAAATCTGGATGAGTTGTGAGTTGTGACTGGGAGTATACCGGATACTGTACTGTATGAGATTTTTATGGTTTTCTGAACAAGGTCACACTTCCCCCCTATGCCTCCCTACTTTAAACTATGAAGCTTCTATGTTAAAAGTTCCTGAGTTAGAGTCGTGCTCAGTATAGTGTTGCACAGCTATTAAGTAGAATTTACCTATACAAATCATGTACAGTATAGTGTTGTTTATTACTGATAAATGACAAAATATAGAAATGTAGAAAGAGCATTAAATGATAAATAATAAGGTGATCTGGTATATGCTAAATAAATGCCATGCCAAGGTTGAGTTTTTAATTAAGCAATAGTGAATTTTGTATGTGACTTTTGTAAAGAAATATCTGTTAATAGCTGTGAACAACCAAAGTGAACATATACAGTTACCAAAACATCACACTGACAAGTTTATGCTTCCCTTACTGACAGTTAGGTTGATTTCATATTTTACTGTACTTACTTTAGTTTATCTTTTAATTTATTTGATTCTCTTATTACATATACAGGTATGCAGTTCTACAATACGCTGTACCTGTAAATGGATTTCTTATTAAATTTTAACTCATGACATCTGATAAAGAAAAATTATGTGGCCTACAAAGGTTAACACACATTAATCTATTTTGATACAACACTAAACCATACCTTTGTAATTTAATGAGCCATAAAAATTTTATGAGTAAATGTTCGGAATATTGAACAAATCTTGAGTTTTAAATGCTGTATTAACCCTGCACTGGGGGACCCCACTTTTAATGTCTTATTGGGCTAACACCAGATTATTTTATTCAGCACAGAAGGGAGCCCATACACAAGTGAAAATTGTCATTTCATATGAACCACATGATCATCAATAACAAATAACCCATCAAAGATGACTGGGCATTGCACTGGTTAAATCAAGATAATACCAGGTATGTACAATTATAAGCCCTGAATATAGGTTGTACTGTATAGTAGTGCAAGTAGCCAGTACTGATTATTGTCCAGCAAATGGATGAAGATCTGAACACAAAGGGTTGATACCTTCATCCAGAATATACATAAGTATTTAAGAAAAATTGTGGTGTGGCTTATTGAGGTTGGTGTATAGTACTATTCAAGTATTTCAGTACAATACTGTATAACTAAAACATATGTATGGAAACAACTAAATAATGAAAAGCTGTTTAGTAAATGATTAATAGTATATTTAAAAAAATATATGAATTTTCAATATTAATCATGGGTATTTGTTATGTTGTTTATGTCCCCACTAAGTCATGGAGCAAACACTGCCACACATGAAACCAAGTGACAACTGTTTACCTCCAGAGATGGATAACAGGATGTTTATAATAATGTGTTTCTTTGCTTTACTTTTTAAAAGTACCACTTTTCTTATATTTCTCAATAACTGATTTCTGGAATTCTGAGGTTCTACTGTATGTTTTTCATGATATCCCAGTGCCAACACCACCACTTACTGTACATTCAATGGCTGGTAGTCAAGACACCTGTGTGCCGCATTTGGTTCGTTGCATAAATTGTCATAACAGGTATAGGAAATTCATAAATTTATCCGATAACCAGGGAATTTAATATATACATTTAGCTCGTAAAAAATCTGGTAAACAAAGAGAAATTAGAAATGAGAGAAAAGTAAGTGCATCAGGTATCTTAGTAGTTGGCTTTAGTGAACAGTTTCCTTTACATAACAGAACTTAACCTAGTTATTATGTATTGGTTTGGTTATACTACAGTATTTTGGGTTTATTTTCTACAGGTAAGCTCCATTTATTAGTGGTGTATTTTTATAAATTATTGAAGTATTTTATTAACGATCAGAAAGGTAACAGATTATGACCAAACCCAAAATGTGGTAAATAATTTGCAATACACCTAATGAGTAGTAATGAACGATGGCATTTTCAAACAAATTTTTGGTATTTGTGGTAGTGTGATGGGAGGGCATAGCTTTGTTTTGTCCACCAGCCAGACTGTAAACACAACTCACATGAATTGGTGAAGTAATATATACTTGCCTAATAGTCTGGTTCCTTCTCATATTGCATCATCTCATCCTCCTAAAATTTTTATTAACAAACTTCTGTCGATATCATTCCTTTCCATTCATCACCTGTTTAAAGTCATTGTATAATTTATAAATGCTAGGTCTTTCTCCACACATGTAGTTTGTTAATAATGTGAGTTTGCCTTGTTCTTGAGTTCATAGGAACACTCATTTTCTCTTCATGGTGTTAAGTTTCACAGGAGATCAAATTGCTGTATGAGCAAAGATTTAATATGTAGAAAGAGTTTTCTTTATTGTTCATTCATTTATACAAATATATTTCCACAAACAGATTTTCAAAACAGAATCTTAAACATAAAATAATCTTTTTATTTGTCCTTTCCAAAATAAATAAACCACTAGTGGAATTAATATCATTGTGTTGAGATTAGGCTAGATTTTATGTGAATTTCAATAAATATGAGGTTCTATTTCCTTTGATGTGTGAGAGAGCAGACCTTGACCACCACAAGATGCTGTGCAAGGAATTCATACAGAGGAACTATTTCTTCTATGGACTCCCAGTTGATCCCTAGTAATGAACAAGCTCAGCTGCAGACGTCTCTCCTGTCAGTGGTACATCGGCTGTTTGTTTGCGATCATCAGGTTAGGTGGCGTGGCGGTAGATATAAACATATGGCTCCAAACAACGGCCACCGTTGTGTTATTTGTGCGGAAAACAAAGAAAATAATGAAGGTAAGGTGTCATTTCTTCTCAAAAGGCAGATAAAGGTAAGACCATAATTTTGTGGTTGATTCATAAGCAGTGACAGTTAAATTGCAATTTAATTTATCATTTTATCACTTATCTTATTAGTCATTTGGGCAGCAGGTTTCTTATTTGTTACTTTGTTGTGAACTTGATTGTCCAGTAGCACCCATCAAGTGACCCCCCCTCTTTTTATAGTTGTTTCTAGTGTATTTTTATCTCTTCAAATGTACAATTAGAAATGTCAGAAACCTATAGAAGAAAGGTAAGAGCGCCGATTGTTAACATTGCTACATGCTAAATAGTGGTCTGTGAGGCGAAATGCAAACTTAAGTTGGATGTAACTTTTTTCCTATTAATTTCCTACAATTTTGTGTTGCATATCTGGAAAGTGTAGATAGAACTACCCAAAATTAAAATATAAATGTAGGGTTACTTATTGGGTCTTAAACTTCAATTTAACCAGTCATTTGAAAGCACATATCCACTCACATTTATGATAAATTTAAGTCATACCTGTAGTTACAACCCTGTTACTCAGTGCCAATATGGAACAAATACCTTTTTAACCCCTGCATTTTCCTTCCATATAACATAGTAGTATATGTAATTGATATTGTGCTTGAGCAGTTGCTTCATGTTTGTAATATACATTTTCAATTGCAATTATAACAGAATTTAAAGATCACCTTGAGTAATTTAGTGGTACTTTCCAGGTCCTTTACAGCATCCGGGTACACCAGTTTCCTCCTGTACTTACACTGAACAATATAGTCATTGACAATGCTAACAAAGAACAGACAATCTGCCTAAATGACTAATAAGGTAATAAGTGCTGAAATGATAAATACTGTATTGAAAATAGATAATTAAATGAATGCCGATGGTAGAGAAAGTAAATCCAACGGGAAATACTGGAGTTACCATTAAAAAAAAAACCGCCAGTGTCGGGCCTAAAGAAAATAATATAAGGGCATTTTAGATTCATATGATATTCCTTGGTTTATATGTACAGTAGTCTGTCAGTGGTGTTGTCTGCACGAAACACAAATGCCCATGGATACAGCAATTTGTGGTTAGGTATTTGGGCACATTTTCACCTTATTCTTGGGTTATATTAGCTCTTGCTTCTAAATACTTTCACTTGCAACTGTCTATATTTCAGTTTATACTTTCAATGTATTTTAAAAAGCTGTAATAATGCCAAGGAGGATGGGGCTTCAAAGATTACGTGCTCACACCCCTCTGAGCAGTCATAAATAAAAAACTGGGTACTCAGACCTGACGCCTTCGTCCGGTGTTATTAATTTAAAAGAACCATTGGTGTAACGTGGGTAATAAAACACAACATAGAAAATGTATTGTATTATACACAAAAGCCATAACATACATCATTAACGTAGCATGACCTTCAAAGTGCTGCAGCCCGTCAGACGAGCTCTTGGTCCATACAAAAGTGCAGCTTCACACCGCTCACTCTAAACATAGTTATGATTTCATGCAGTGACTGATACAAAAATAGGAAACCTGCAGTGGAATCTAATCTCCATCCATTAAGAAGGAACTCTTATAAGTAGTATTCTTTTTTACAAAAGTCTGGCAGAGAATAAGTTTAAACCTTAAGATTATGAGGTACAAGTTGACACTCCTTGAGCAAAGTTCTGGTGTGTAGCTGGGCAGTCTAAGTGACGTTTGGTAGCACCGCTTCCTACTGGCTCTCTGGTCAATCCTGTATGTTCCATCCTCCCTATTCCTTTTCTATCTACCTTCTACTATTCCATTTCACTGGTCAACTTTTTTTACCACTCCATTTTCACCCCTCCTATTTGCTATTGATCGATCTTCCATCTTAATTCCTTAATCTGCTTTCCACTTTTTTGCATTACTTCCTCCATTCTCCATGTTCACGTTCATATGTTTTCTCTGTTTCCATTCCACGCTGTTTCTCTCATGTACATTACCCTTAAGCCGACCACCTCATTTCTTTTACCTTTTCCTCAACTCCTTTCTCATAGCTGTCTTGACCTGTCCTCAGGGCCGCTGAAAGCTGGCTAGGGCCCCAGGGAAAGATAAATTTATGGGCCCACTTTTGGCCTTTGAACGATTAATACAGTACTGTTATATCTATACCCCCCCTGTATATAACACTTTTTATCTATGTACTGTACCTATTTTAACTGTTACACATATATTTAATATTTATATCCCCTTTTCCCAGGCCCCAGTTATTTATCCCGGCTTCCCTAACCTCTTGGCGGCCCTGCCTGTCCTCGAGACACACATTAATACCCTCACCAGTCTTTCATATACCCAATTACAGCCCGTATTTCCCTAACACCACAAAATCTCAACATATTTTTGCCTTCCCTCACAATACAAACTTATACCAGCCTTCTTCCCTCTCTGACACACCTCTTTCTGCACTCACACACCCAACCCAAGCACAATCACATCTACCCAGGAGCCTAAGTGCAGGGAAGCAGAAACGTCGTCCTCCCAGTCTGGGTGTGGCCACCATCCTCCAGTGCAACAAACCCACGCGTGGTGCATCACTCGTCACAAGAACAGAATTATGGCAAACTTTTCCGGGGGTACGAAGCCGCGTAACATTTTCTTCATCTTCTTCGTTACAATATAACTCAGTAAATTATTACTGGATGGACTTAAAAAGAAAAATTCTGTCGATTACACAAAATTTTGTTAAAATGTGGTTTTGAAGATAAAAAATTCTGATACATACAGGGTATTAGTCATTTACATAAGTATCTTGTGCTAGGGAGATTGAGTTGTCGCCAGCTTAACAGTGAAGTCAAGAATATACAGTACATGATCCACTCACTTGTCATTGCTGTTGTTAGTACTGCACTTGTTTTAGTCACTAATGAAGACCCCAGAGTTGAACTTTAAACTGCAAATTTTAGCTGAGATCTTTATGTTGTTAATATAATGTAATATAATACTGTGTAATGTAAAAACTGTCTTATAAAATTCAGATAGAGGTCCTTAAAGTGACAAGTTTGATCAACACTTTAATTGGAAAGTCTTTGGCTAATTGGGGGTTAGAGATTATGGTTAAATATTTTGCCTTTGTTGGAAATTTGTTTTCAAACTTTAATAGGAGGCCTAGATATAGACTGGTGTTTCTAGAATCCTCTGTTCCATACTGTAGCTGCCTTGTGTGTCATGAGGAGAGTAACAGTGACAATGATGGTGTGTAGCAGCAAAATAACATGGTCTAGTCAAGAGTGATATTTCTATGTCTTACCAATTCCAAAAGATAAATGCGTAAAACTTCTGATCTGTTTGCGTCCTTAAGTCAAGTCAAAACCCGCCCGCGGGTCCACTAGACATTCTGAACTCTGAAGCCTTGATGCGTAACCGAGAATAAGACTAAACCCTGTTTATATGAACAAGAATCGGTGAAAGCTCAACCAAGTTTCCAAACCTGCCAACAGTCAGTCAATTCTAAACCCGACTACATGTCAGGTGAATTAGTTTAAGGCCTTCCTTCCCACATGTCCAGGAGTCACTTTAATGGAAATAATCGTGTATTACTGACTACAATTGTTGCATCTCCCAGACTCGATCAAACTATAATGAATAACAATAGAAAACTTAAAATACTTTGGTTAGTTAGTAAAAAATTATTTAAAACAGATCCTACGTTATAAACACATGATACTATAAAGTAAGGAAAATAGTATAAGTACTAATATTGTACTTTATTTCAAATAAAAAAAATATTAGTTCATATATTAATAAGTCAGCGACGAAGTCAGGGTTCAGAAGTGAAAATATAGAACCTTCTTCTCCTGTCTCTTTAGTGTCGCAAGCATAAAAATTTTCCCTTATCACAGGATCTTAAAACTAAATCATAACCTTATAGTTAATTCGGAGAAGTGTGGAACTAGACAGAGACCACGCCTGCCTGCTGGTTGGACAGAAGTGTGATAAGCTCAAATTCTTTGATACTATATCAGGTGTTACTCAGTGTATATTTCTTGCAATATTTCATTTATTATACACTGATTGAGATACTACTGTATTATTTAAATATCCCCCGATGTATATCTATGAAACATTGAAATATTGCTTCGCGATATCCGTAAACATTCGAATTCTAACTTAAATAGATCATTGAATCAGCAAAAAACTCAATTTAAGAGTCTTATTAATATTTAATTGTATATTACATCATGAACTGCTACTGTTGCAAAAAAAGGATATGTTTTCAAGGCTCTGTATCAGGTGCTGATTCTGTGGTTCGTAGAGTGCAACAGCGTAGCCAGATGTTAATCTACCAAAGGGTCGTTCCACCACAGGCAAGCGCACTCAATTGTGTACTCATTTATTTGCCGAGTGTGTAAGGTCAAGTTTATAAGAAAAAACTCAATCCTCCACTTCAGCTGACCTCTTCAAATTAACTTGTTCTTTTTATGTCATAAGAATCTGTCACTCCACACTCCTCCATTCTTCACTCCCCCACTTTTCCTCATACATTTAGCCAAGGAAAATGTAACTATAATTGATAACACGGAATTGAACCTCAAAGGCAATACCTAAATCTCATATTATCACAAAATACATAATCGCCTTCAATATGGCATTTTAAAACAATCATGCACGTAGTTAAAGCCTCCATGGAGGCTAATGGCGCTTTGCTTTCTTTTGGAGGAGGAGGTTCCTGAGGGAGGTGGCTTCCTCCCTAAGTGTGGCCACCTGGGCCCGCAGAATGGCATTTTCCTTCTCCAAGTAGGTGGCGCGGATAGCAACCTGGAGGGTGAACCAGGAGGTGAAATTATGGTACCTGCTCTTAAGTTGAACACTCATCTGTTGTAGCCATATTACAATTAAATTTAAAAAATAACAACCTAGCAATAACTATAAACCCTAATTATATTCAATATTGAATATTAATCAGAGGGATTATCAAATAGTGACAACATAGCATTAAATTCAACACTCCAAAAATTTTCTTATTAATCTTCGAGTGGTACAGATTGAAAGGGTGTACAACAGGAACAGCAGCACAAGTCAAGCATGGATAAACTTGATACTGTACTTGTCAGGGTGATTAGAGCACCAACACTCACCTGGTCCTCGCGCTGTTTCCTAGCGTCACGAGACTTTTTGGCGGCGAGGTTGTTCCTCTTGCGACGCTCAAAGTACTTATCATCTTTCAGTGTGTCCGGGATGGGCTTCTTTTCTCCCCTGGGCCGCCGGGGGTTAGTGGTGGCCAGGGCTCGAACCAACAAGTTTGGGCCTCCCATAAGTTCTGTAATAATAAAGGCCAAGTATAGATTTTAATTTCTTTGCATGGTTATTATCAGCTTGTCATTCTTCCTTTACCTCTACACTTTAGGAACGTCTCATAATAGTCTGTGCAAAATATTTTTTTAATCTTCCATAAACCAAGTTTTTCTGTACAGAAATTTATTGTTGCTTTTGTATACTGTAGCATGTGAGCCCCGACACATGTCCCTTTGACTTCGTTTTGCGTTTATTGTAAATATTGATTAAATACGGGAGAAGACAAAGGATAACAACTGACTTACTTGGCTCTACTGTGGTGCAAGATGGGAGAGAACAATGAAATAGAAGAGTATGTGTCAAAGTGGCCAGAGAAAAAACAGATTACTTCTGTTACACTCAGAGGGATAAGTAGGAAGGTTAGGGAAGGAATAATAGTACTGTAGTAGGGATAGGTTTAAGGAATGGGCACTCCTTGTTAATTTGAGTGGGAAAATTAAAAGGTGTAGGTTAAAGAAACTCACTGGTAGGCTGAAATTCTTGGAAGGGGAGCAGCGGAGGTGTGGGTACCGGGGACGCCAGTGTGCCAATCAGTGCCCGGGCGGCCAGCGCCATCTGCTGCCGCTGTTGAAGGCTGTCGGTTAACTCATTCATATTTCTTCTATCTTCTTCCTCTTCTGGTCCTTCTTGCTGCTCCCTCACCTCCTGCAGAAAATATGACATTTAGCAAGTCTGCAGTTTATTATTGAGCAATGGGTGAATGGTGTACAGTATTGAAGGAAAATTTAGATCCAGGAAACTAGAGTTAATGACCTTGTCTATGTAGTGTAAGAGCTGCAAACATAAGAAATCGTGGAATGTTCTAAAAACATGGAGAGCAAACATGTACAATAGTGTAAATGAGTTCACAAAATTGATCCTATCGTTGGTAAGGAGTGGGATAGGTTCCATCTTCACCGGGTATAATGATATACTGTATAGTGCTAATATCGAAAAAAAGTTATGCATGGCACTATTTGGATTTCCCAAACATATGTTTACTGAAATCTTCATCACATCCTAAGTTTATTATTTTTTTTTTTTTCAGACACTAAGACCTAGCGAGTGATACTTGAGAACCGCAAAGGTTGAATTAATGAAAATAAAAATAAATATTTTCAGGAGAATGGGAGAATGAAGAGATCAATATATTTTATCATCAGCTGCCAGTGTGCGTGTGATCTTAAATACTGTCCAAGGAAATATGTGACCATGCTTTTCAACAAACTTATGATGTCTGGATTGTTTACCAAGAAAGAATCACCAGTTTATATTTTTACAGGATACAGTACACTGTATATGTAAACAATCTGGAATGTTCGGGGAACTTAGATGCAAATAACAAAAAAATCTGTTTTACTTAGATTTTGTGTATAAAAATTATGAATATTGTATATACACAGAGAATAAGTCATATCATGCGTGAATCTACCTTAAAATTGAGGATATACTCTCACCTGTTGTTTGTCTTCCCGTGGGTCGTGGTTGCCCCAGGGGTCGTCGTCGTCGTTGTTTTCGTCACTACTACGAATGCTATAGGGATGGTGAAGGTCGTACCTCTCTGCCAGGGAGTCGTTATATACACGATGCCTCTGATCTACTTGATCTTGCCTCTGGTCATGGTGGTGGTGGCGGTCGTCGTAGTGGAGACGTGAACTTGTGGAAACAAATTCAGGCTTGCCGGCTGTCGGGGAGTGGAGTCGATGGTGTGGGGAGGACGGGGGAGGTGGGGAGATGGAGAGAGAGTTGGGCTCCGGGCTCCCCAGGCTGCCCTCGCTCACTCCTGGGGAAGAGTACCATAAGTAAATACAGGTTATTTAGCTAACATCAACACAGTTGTAAAAACAGTTATAACAAACCTCTGTAAGTTTAAGTAGACACCTGGGAAAATAAAGTGAATACTGTAGTATGTAAACACTACCCTGATTTATACATGAATACAGTTGTAATTCTGTATAGAAAATATCGCTAGTATATAAAGAAAAAAATTCTTGAAAACAAATGATGGTAATCCTTTAGCAGATGGCCAACACCAAAATGCATTCGATTTTCTTCATTTTTTGTACACATAGTAAGTAATAAAAACCTTACGACAATACACAGTGCCTAATAGAACCTGACCCAACCAACCAAAGACACCTACCTAACCTTACCTAACCTCCAAGCCGGGGGGGACCACCATATCAAACAGAAAGTACTTACAGTACTTTGATATCTGGTACCACTGAAAGCAACTTTCTTGAAGTGATATGGTGTAATTTTATGATTTTTTGTGGACATGGCAGGTAGTAGGTAGTAGGCAGCAATCAAACAGGGAGGTACTGCCGCCTGGGAAGTTATTGGAAGCATAATGTGTTGTCTAATGGTAGACCCTGCTGCCATATGGCATCACAAAAATTGTGACCAATTCCCAGGTTGCTGATCTGACTTTCTGTCTCATTTACACAATTGCAGGGTCTCAATTGTTTAACTTACTTTGACAACACAACATACATATATATTTTCTCTCTATTGATCTTTTTTGTGTATTTATTTATGGTCCATTATTATTATTATTATTTTATATTTTATTTTTTACTTATTTTTTTTATTAATTTTTATCAATTATTGTTAGTAGTAGTATTAAATACATTTTTGCCCCAGGAGCTGATGCAATGAATCTGAAAACTTCAAAAAATAAAATGATAGGGAGCGCACGAAACTGATATAAATATATGATGCACAATCGTGAATATTACGTTCTTAAGAAGATGCAGAAATAGATAAAATGTTACTTGGTATGGAAAATCGAGGCATTTACTGTATACCCTTGTGTTGTAGCTAATGGTTCAAAGATGCCAGCAGAAAATTATGTATCTGACACTGGATGATTGTTAAATTACATATTTATGCATACAGTAATTCTGTATGACAAATGACATATTGATAATCTGGCATACTATTCTTGATAAAGTGTATTTTCTCTGAATACGCAGCAAACATATTCTAAACTCGACAGCAAGCACGAGAAAGTTGGTTCCGTGAGTACTTGGTGAAAAAATAACATTTAACTGGGCACTCGAACTATCATAAGGACTAACATTTTACGTCGAGTTCCTTGAATCCCCGATCTGAATGTTAAAGCAACTAATAACATTTTGCTTTGTTTAAAGATTTGAAGTCGACTACAGCGAGCGGTATATTTGTCGTGCCAGCAGCTAATAATTACAACTTGAAGCAACCAACTTTGAACTATATTCGTATATACATTTAAAAATTGATATAATACATTCTTGAAAGTGTGTAAACAACAGTGAGTGAATTGCCAACTGTCGAGCCTGTATACACTGCTCGTATTAATTAAGTTTTCACAGTGGCTATTTACAAAGCAACTCCACCATTAAAAATGCAGGGTTTAGTTATTTTCGCTTAATTGATTATGATATTTCGCAAGAACAATAGGAAAAGTAATCTGCTTTAGAAATAAATGAACAATGTTTCCCAATCAGGAAGCAAACGCCGTGCACATTACATCCCAAATGGAGTGAAATAGCTATATGGACTCCGTATGTAAAAGATATTCCTTCTCGATAATAGCACATAGCCACCTGTTGAGGTTAAAACATAACCCCTCACCCCCTCCCCCACAAGAACAGCAATTCAAATCTTTTATTTGTTAGATTTTCTTGTAGAAAACAATAATGATTCCTAGGGCCTCCGCCATACTTCAGCTACAGCGCGGTTAGGCTCGATCACTGGCCGCCTCAACTCTCAGTGATCTTCCTCATTATTTTTAATAACTATAAAAACGCGTTTAGTAGTAAATATTAATAAATTTTGTATTTCTTTAGGATTTTACGATTACATTTATCAACAATATGTTAGCCACTTATGAAATACATCTAAAAAAGAACCGTAGAAAAGCATAACCAAAATCAGTGCCGGATTTAGACCTGTGGAGGCCCATGGGCAGCCTCTTTGTGAAGGCTCCCCTCATTATAACTACCCAAGAGGGTGGGGTGGCGAGTGAAGCGAGCCTAAACACCTGGGAGTTCTGGGGGGCGCTGTAAGCCCCCCGGGAAATTTGAACACTTCTTTGGAGAATTTTGAAGCCATATGCAGTTATATTGAGGAAATTAGAACATATTGTAATATGTGGAGGCCCCTGGGCAGCTGCCCACTCCTGAATCCGGCCCTGACCAAAATACGTTAACTAGTTCCGGATATTGGCTCATTCTCCAGGTAAGGAACAACTTTTTTTTTCCTGCAAAATGTCCCTAGAATAGCTATTGAGAGTTGCATATCGACGAGTTTCTTTGGTATTTCATACAAAAAGAGGCGTGTTTATATGCCAGTTATTAACACTACAGTGTTGGCTGGAGCACTAATCAGATACACTGACAGGTACCTTAGGTTTGAGGTAAGCACGAACAGTGTTAACATGAAGTTATATATTCCTCTAATTTATTATCATCCGCATCGGTTAAAATATTGGTGGAGAGACAACCACGGAACTGTATTGAGAGAGAGCCAAAAAATGTTTTATAACGTTATTGCAAATTTATATATTTCCAGTTACTTTTAATTTTCGATTTCACAGTACAGTATTATCGTTTCGGGGATCCAGCGATTTTTAATTTTATATATATATATATATATATATATATATATATATATATATATATATATATATTATTTTTTAATCGGTAATTTAGACAATTCTAAGGCACTTTTCTTATATGGCATTTTGCCCGCTCATTAATACTTAAAAAAAATCGCATTACATTTCTGGAAACTCGACAACCCCGGTGACCCCAACTCAGTCTTCTGATTTCAAAACTTAAAATCCTAAAAATCGCTGGATAGGCTTGGTGTGATTATCGTTAGAAATGAAGGTCAGATTCGTTCAAAACACATCGAGAAACATCTGAAAAGTATATCAACTTAAAAATATATATAAATTTTATCGATTTTCTCTTAATCATGAGCAGGCAAAATGCCCAAGAAGAAAAGTTTTTAAGAATCGTCTAAACTACTGATTTTATAAATAAAAAAATTATTAAAAATCGTTGGATCCCCGTAACGATAATTATACTGAAAATACAATCATCAGCCGAAGTGTGTGTCACGTGATTCTCCAGCGCGCGCACGCTCAAGAGCTGGAAGGTGTTTTTGTAGACAACACTGCTGCAACTAACATTTTCAAGTTGCATTGTTAGTCTAACTCTAACGTGTGGTGCAGACTGCCATTGTCGTGAAGATAAACGTTTTGTTTACCGAAACTACCAAAATCGCCAGGACAAAGGTAAAGTTAAGTCAGGTTAGGTTGAGGATTCTATACTGTAAACTTGTAAAGGGAGGATGGCTCACTCCAATGGGCGAACTAAAGTGTACACATTTAGTTGGCAAGCAAAGATTAAAGAGAGGGAGGTACACATTTCGGCGAATGCTTTGATTTTTATTGCTCGCAGCACACTATATTATTTTACCGTCTACATTGTGATGCAATAACTGCAGCTATAAATTATTCCAATAACACCAAAAGGAACACAAGCCTGTCTTTATTTAATATGGCTGGAACCATTAAGTTTTGGGTCAATACTCGTTTTAGGATCGCCCACGACTTTTGGGACGAAATTATGTTTTTCTTGAATATTTCGACGTTTTAATTGAAATTCACCTTCATTTCTTGGGTAAATTGATTGTAAAGGTGTACATGTCATTCCTTATGAATCAACTTGAACTCAAGAAACGAGTGTGAAATTTATGAAAACCTTAACAACCACATAACCTAGGAAGCTAATTTCACTCAATTGTCCTTAACTTAAATCACTAAAGATTGGAGAAAATCCACGAGGCTACAGTACCTGTAGTTGCATACAGAAACGTGTATGGCAATTTCACTGAATTAGTATTACTATTATTCAAACTTTGTTTAATGTAGCCTGATCGTCAAACATTTTCCACTGTAGCAGTCTAATCTTAAAACCTCCAGTTAAATTTCCAACAATACATTGGAAGTTGTGTAATTTTGAAGCTATGATGCATTTTTTTTATATTGAACCTTGGACATTAATAAACTAGCGAGCACCAAATGTAAAAAAAAAAGTTGTCTACCAACTGTTATCACCTTGTAAACAGTTTTGTTCTCTATATTACTTTGAAAATAGTATAGCCTTTTCAAAGCAACTACAATAATGTGCATTCGCTAACCCAGTTTATTTTTTTCATATTAAGTGATGTAAAACTGGTGTAAAGCTGTAGCTACCAGCCTATCGCCATCGCTCTTACTGAAGATTCAAAGACATTGCCTCATGTTACCGAGCTTTGTTTCATATTATTTTCACCTTACATCATGTTACCTCACTTTGTTTCATGTTTCCAAACCATACCTCACCTTACATCATGTTATCTCACTGCTTCATGTTTCCTAACCTTACCTCACCTTACATCATGTTATCTCACTTTGCTTCATGTTTCCTAAACATACCTCACCTTACATCATGTTACCTCACCTTGCTTCATGTTCCCTAACCTTAACTCACGTCATGGTAGCTACCCTGCCTTATTTCATATTATATTCACTTTATACACCTACATAACACACGCCCCAAAATTAACAAACGCACACAAGACTTAAACATACAGTATATAACACTAAGACCTAACACAAACACAAGACCCAAAAGATGTCAACACACGCAAAGATCTAAGAGACACAGACAAACCCTAAAATATACATAATTAAATAACAGATAAGTAGGACCTTAAACAAGAACCCACAAACACACGTGAGACTTACTG